CATGTGCCACAAAGTAGGCACAGACCCCTGTGTGTTATTTGGCTTGAGTGTCGTTACCATCCAAGGGTAAAAGTAGTTTCTGTTAGGATTTTGAAAAAACATTGATGATAACGCCCCCCACTGCCACCTTCCAGGTCTTGCAGAGTTCCAGGACTCCTAGACCCTTCCTAAGTCCCCTTCAGATCATGGGAGACCAGGGCTTGCCTTTCTGGGTTTTCTCTGAACCAACCTCTGTCTGCTCTGGAACTGGTTTTCCAAATTTAAAATGAAAACACAGACTTGAGGATTTGCTTGAGTCCTCTCAGGTCTGTGACTCTGACTTGGTGGAACAGCTACCTGCAGATGCTGTTGTCCCAAGGCCACTCCACGAATGTGGCATGGTGGTGTTGGGTGTGATGCTATGGCTGGCCCACCTCTTTGAATATGGTGCCTGTTTCCCAAGGGGAAGAGTTCTGGGGGCCATCCACCCAATGCTGCCACAGGAGCTACAGGATAGCTGATCTTGAACCTTTCCTAGACCTCCAAAGGTCCCATGATTGTTCAGTCAAGCCCCAGTAAGCAAACTGCCTCTCCCTTCTCCCATCTGGGTCTCTATTGACTGGGTCTCAGGTCAATGTTCTCACTCAACAGGGCTGAAAGGGAAGACTATAGTTAACTTTCTAGAAACTAAAATGTGTTACGGAGATCTTGCCATCTAGTCTAAGTATCTCATTAGACACAAGGGAAAAATGACACAGAGGCAGAACAGAGCTGGGTCCAGGCCTCCTGACATTCTTCCCACCTGTCCACAATTTTCTCAATTTGCTCCACCTAATAAATGAAAGCTTGCTTTTCAAAAGTACCACCCATTCAGAGTCATGGCCAAACTGATTGCTTTTCCTAAACTTCAGATTAAGTAGTTTTCTCTGAACAACCTGCCCATTATCACATACTGAAACTCTTCAACTGTCTTCTGTATCCTGCACTTACTGGCTCCATTTTCCCAGCACAGCTATCTTTGAAGAGCAGCATTTATGTGATGTGAAGAATGTATTGCATCTTTGCTTGCCCTTTTTGTTTTATAAAAACTGGTGCAGCCCTGGCTGGTTTGGGTCAGTGGTTACAGTGTTGGCCCACGAACTGAAGAGTCACGGGTTCATTTCCAGTCAAGGGCATGTGCCTCAGTTGCAGTTCAGTCCCCAGCCCCGGTCGGGGTCATAGGGGAGGCAACCAATCGATGTGTCTCTCTCAAAATTGTTTGTTTCTCTCCCTCTCCCCCCTCCCACTCTATCTGAAGATAAATGGAAAAATATCCTCCGGTGAGGATTAAAAAAAAAAACTGATGCAAAACGGTAACACTAAAGTTCTGAACATGACAACATTGGTATCATAATTTGATATAACTAAGACAACAGGAATCATAGGGTGTCCAGTGTAACCATCATACAACTTAATTCATGTCCAACTGTGAAGAAAAACTGTAAAAACAAGAATGAAATGTTGGTGTCTGACACTGAAAACTGCTATAAGGAGAGGCAACCCTTGGCACTTTTGTGATTGCTTTAGCTTTCCAAGATCAGCACATACCTTGTTACACGAGACTCTACTGCTTGGTATGTACACATCTTAAGTGAATAGCCATGATTTTTTTTTTTAAAAAAAGGAATATACACTATCTGGGGACTGCCTTTAGACCAAAAAGGGCTAGTTTGAAATAATCTGGAAAAACTTAATATACTTAGTACAAACTACCACTGAAGGACCAATTGTAGGATTTTCCTAAAGTCAGCTGATGCAACAAACTGCTGTCACTTCTAGTGAGGATTAAAGATCTTTAGGATCACCCTGGCCATGTGGCTCAGTTGGTTGAAGCATACACCAAAATGCTGAGGGTTCGATCCGTCTCATGTATATAGGAGACAACTGCTCGATGTTTCTCTCTCTCAAATCAATAAAAACATACCTCGGCCCTGGCCGGTTTGGCTCAGCAGTTAGAGCGTCAGCCTGCGGTCCAGAAAGACCCGGGTTCGGTTCCCGCTAAGGGCACGTACCTCAGTTGCAGTTTGTCCCCGGCCCTGGTTGGGTAGTGCGGGTGGCAACCACTCGATGTGTCCCTTTCACGTCGATGTTTCTCTCTCTCTCTTCCTCTCTCTCCCTCCCACTCTATCTGAACAAAAAAACGAAAAAATGTCCTCGGGTGAGGATTTAAAAAATTTTTTAAGTTTTTAGAATTTTTTCCCCTGTAATAATTCAGTCAGTTCAAGATATCCAACGTGTCGTGAACTGCTGATAGATACAGTTCAGGGACTGGGGCCTTTCCCACCCAAAGTACATAGGATGTCCTTATCCAGCCAAAAGCAAGCATTCTCCTCCCAACCTATTCCCTCCCTGGTAAACAAAGGTCAAAACACCTCCGTGCCCACCTCAAAGGCAATAAACACAGTGGGATGAGCCCTCACTAAGCCCCCTCTTTTCAACCTGCCATTTCAGGATCCCAGTTACAGCGATGGGGGAGGGATGCATGTGAGATTTCCAACATCTCCCCCCAAGAGTCGCAGGGGCCAACCGAAACACCCAGTTTCTTTTCGTCTGCCTGGAGTTGCACCAACTCAGTGCAAAACCAGTGGGTCCCTCGGGCAGCCATTAGCCCCGGCAGCAGGCTGTGTCCCTAACCACCACGAAATTGGAAGGTTAAGTGAACCCAGAATCTCCTAGGTACGAGGGGTGGGGCCTACCCGGCCCGGCCCCGCCCCGCCAGGCCGCGCCGCGCGTGCTCGCGCACCCGCCCGACGCGATGAATGGAGACGCGCGTGCCCGGCGCGCAGACCCGCAGTGAAGCTCCCGCGGGGCGGCGGCCTAGAAGGACGAGGACGTGCTGCACGGTACCTCTGAGCCGATCATGTAGAACTCGCCGTCATCCTCCAGCTGGAACTTGACGGGCTTTTGCCCGAAGGTCTTACTCAGCGCCATCATCATCATTGCGGCGGTGGAGGCGGGCGGCAAAGGCCGGGATGCGAGGAATCGGGAAGGCTCAGGCGGGTCCGGGCCGCGTCGAGTCAATGGGAGCCGAAGTTGGGAGGTGAAGGGCGGGCCGGGCCGGGCGCTCGCGCCGCCGCCACCGGGCTCCTCAGCTGCTGCAGCAGACGACGACCAGGCCGCCCTCAGTGCGCATGCGCAGGCGTTGACGCTAACGCGCGCGCTGCCGCCTCCCAAACAAAAGACCAGAGCGCGTCCCCGCGAGTCTCTTAAAGGAACCTAGACCCGTTTCTCTTCCAGACTGCTTCCCAAATTGAGGTGCGGAGGAAAATTCTCACAGATGGAAATAGCAACCGAGGCCCTGACTCAGGCGGTGGCTTTCCCAGCCTTACATCTGTGACTGGAATTCTATCCAGTGGAGGAGAAAGGAAGTGAAACCCGAAGACAGGGAAAAGGACCAAAGTACCTGTGCCTCAGTTTCCCCACCCGGAAAACAGTGCAGCTGAGCACATAAGAGGACTCATGCGAACAGATATGCCAGTTCCGAGCCCACAGCTGTTCCTGTGGCTATGGGAATGGGCAAATTGACAACACTGAGTGGTGTTGCATGGGCAAAGGCTCCCTGGCTTGGAAGGATTCCAAGGTCCAGGTGGTATTTGGTTTGTCTGGTGCATCAGATGAGTGTTGGAGGGGACAGAGCTTTCTCCATTTCTTCCTTAACTTTGCTTGTGCCCAACAAACTGAGCCCTACGGTGAAACTAAACAGCCCTGTGGCACTTACAGCTGGGTTTGGAGACTGACGTCAATGAAAGCATCTAAGCATCCACGTATCCAGTTGACCAAAGCAGTAGGTCAAAAACGGCCCACTGCTGCCAATTCCATACAGTTCAGTCTAATAAAAATTGCAGCTGTGATAGGTGTTACTATGAGCCAGTTACACAGGGCAGGGAGTGGCAAGCAAGGAGACACTCAAGAGTTAGGAAGGGTCAGCTGTGGTAACCATGAGTTTTGTTCTGTGTCCTGACAATGGTGGGATAGGGGCTGGGGTGTGGTAAGATCAGAAAAAGTGACTATCCCTTGATGGAGAATGATCTAAGGGGCAAGGGGGAAAGCAGGGAACAAATTACAAAGCCACTCCAGTTGTCTAGTGAGACAAAATGGAGGACTGGAGCAAGAAGGGCCCTAAACATTGTACACAGCCCAAAGACCATAGGTTTGGGGGGGGGGGGGTCTGCCACCCTGGATCCTAGGACAGAGCAGGTCCCAAGCCAGGCCTCCCACCTCCCTGGCCCAGCTCTTTCCCCATCCTAGCCTCCCCATCACAGAGAAACCTCAGTCAGGCAAGTAGAAAATGATCATGACCATGTTTAATGATAGTCCTCAGTAAAAAAAAAGGCACTGTCCACACATTTACATGGCTTTGGAGGGTCTCAGTGCAGGATGAAGGGGCTGGGGAGGATCTGGCCCATGAGAGGATTGAGGTATGTTGGGGCCTCCAGGGCCCTGGGTCTCCGGCAGGAAGCACCCCCCTCCCCAGCTGACTCTGGACCTTCTGAATCTTGGGGAACAGATCCCCAGGATCACCAACTAGAAGGTAGCCAGTTCCAAGCTGACTTCTCAGGAAAGGGCAGAAGCATGGGGCCCCAAGATCCATGTGCCAACACCCTGCAGGAACCTTGCAGCAGGAAGGGAGCAAGGGCTCCAGCTCCCCAAAACCTGCTGAGGTCCTTTCCTGAGGGACAGGGATAGAGAGCGAGGACAGCCAGGTTTGACTGTGATCTGCACAGGTCGGGTAGAGCAGACCCAAGACCACCCCCCACCCTAATGCCAAAGCCTCCCTGCCTAGTCTGAGACAGTTAGTGGCAGGTGACCACGACCTGCGTGGCCCTCCCTGCAGTTGTCATGGTGGTAGGACCCCTCCCCCCTGAGGAGACACAGGCTCTGTCCCATGCCTGGTGCCCACAGCCACAAAGATGGCCATGGGTTTCTAGGTGGTGTCTGTGGCCTGGCAGGGGTCAGGGGCCCTGAGAGCATCCAAGCCATGGTTAGTGGAAAGTGTTGGCAGGTTCTTTACAGCTGAAGAAGTCGGGGCCCACAAGACGGGGAAAGCCCTCCAGGGCCTTCACCTTCACAGGGTCAAACTTCCAGTAGAGGCGGCCACGCAGGAAATAGGCGTAACCTGAGGAGAGAAGAGGGTTAGGCCTGGGCGGGTGGACACGGCCTCACACCTACTATCAGGCTGTGCCAAGGGGTGGGCACAGGGGGAGGTCTAAGTGGGCAGGCCTTAGCCACTGCTGAGTTCCTTGAAACCTACAGGCCTCCAGAACCCCCTTTCCCTTGGGGGAACCCTTCAGCCTAAGAGTCTGGTTTGGGCTACCACCCACCCTGACAGATGCTGGGAGCTTCAAAGGCCCAACTCCCACCTGTCAGGAGAGCAAGTCCTGCTACCTTCACTGTCCTCCCCCCACATCACTCTACTCTGCACCCACCAGTCAGGTACATATGAGTATCTTAAGTCATGTGGGTGACACAGGCAACCTGGAGCCCCAGAGCCCAAGGCCACTGCAGGACAGCTCTCCCAACAAGTCCTACTGTGGGAGAACACAGAAGTAAGCAATGGGCACAAGAGAGAGCACTGGACTGTACATCCCCAATCTAGTTCTTGGAGATTGCAAGTGGTTCAATTGTTAGGAGCAGGGACTGTCTGGGTGGTGGTCCTTGCTGCTCACAGTCCACCTGAGTGGCCCCAGTTAGGGAACCTCATCACCTGAACCTGTTCTTCTGGAAACTGGGTTCCTAACATGTGCAATACCTGAGAATTGAATGAGACATTTAGGGAGCTTAAGTGCCTGGAGCATTGTCAGCCCTTAGTGTGCAGTGGTTATTATTACCAGCCATGACCAAGAAACTTGGGCAAGTCCATTCATCTCTCTGTCTCTCAATCTTATCTGCAACACAGGGCTGTAGCACTGCCCTGGCACGAGGAGGGGGCTTGCTGGGGAGGGTGCTGGACAAAGGACCTGTGATGAAAAGCTGATGCCCAGCCACCACAGGGTGGGAGATACAGCTGCTGCTTTACTTCCACCAGCCATCCCATCCCCAACACACCATCAGCATCCTGGAAGGCAGCATCGATCTCAGAGGGTATTCCTCGCCAATCGGTGGCCCGGCGGGGCACGGGGTTGTCCACACGGCGGGTGCTGGGGTGGAAGCGCCAGTAGTCTCCATCTCGGAAGAAGTAGATCTTGTTCTTCTCAGGGCCCCAGACCAAGGCTGCGTGGATCGGGGACTCCAGCAGGCCCAGCTCAGAGAGGGGTGCAGGGCCTAGAATTGGCTTCTCACCATCATACATCCAATACTGAGCCCCTGCAGAGAGGGAAGGCTGCAATGGAGCTGTGCAACTGCCACACGTAGCTAATTCTGGACCTGCCCAGCTGCCACCACCACCACAGACTTTCCCAGCCTAAGTTTCATTGTTCTGCTTGGTATCATCAGTCCAGGGGAAGTTGGAGCCAGCAGGAATAAGCTGGGGTGGTGCAGGCTCTGGGAAGTACCACGTGGGAAAGTTATTCTAAGCAGCAGAGAGGCGCCTGGGCTCCCGTTCCTTCCCCTGGTATTTGACTGCTCACCGCCTCTTGGACCTTAGCTCTGTCACAGCAGGTCCTGGCCTTTATGAAGTCCCTGCTACCTGGAATGCTCCAGGCTCTCCTCTTTGCCAATTGAAAGTTAACAGCACAGGCTCTAGGGTCACTAGACCTAGATCAATTCCCTGCATTACCTTTTCCAAACTGTGCCTCAGGTGAGTCGTTTCACTGCCTCTGAGCTACAAGCCACTGTGTGATACCTTCTATTCTACTCCACCTCAGGAGCCACAGCCTCCGGGAATCTCCCAGCTGTGCCCAGAGCAATGAGCCTTGCTCTTCTTGGAACCTGAGGATTCAGGGCACCCTCTACCTGCCCATCATATGTATCTGCCTGCCCCTACCCTTGGCCATTGCCTCCTGGCTCCTAGAAATCTCCTGAGTGTGGCTCCCAGCCCCCACTCACCCTGGAAGAACCAGATGTGGCCCTGAGCATCCTCAAAGGCTGCATCCACGGGGCTGGGCAGTCCCTGCCAGTGGCGAGAGGCGAGTGCGGGGTAGCCAGGCTGCAGCTGGCCCCCACGCAGCCGCCACACAAAGCCTGCCTTGAAGAAGAAGAGCTCGCCACGGATAGTGGATACCGCGTCAAAGGAGACCTCGCAGGCATCAGGTGGGACTTCTGGCTGGGGGTGGGGTGGAAGAGCCAGGAGGAGCCCACATTGGAGCCATAGGGGCCAGTAGGGTTGGAAGAGCTGGGGCAGGGCCTCATGTCCTGTCTTCCCACCCTCCTGCACCTCACCTCCGGTAGTGCAATCTCGTTGGTGTCCACCCCAGCCTGGGGGCCCAGAGCTGGAGGCCTAGAGGTGGGGGCTGGCCGGGGCTGGCCATATAGGTGCTGGATGCCGCTGCGGTCATCTGGACTGAGGGTCGGCGGGTAGTGGAAGGTGTAGAAAGGGGACATAAGGGCCTTAGCAGCCGTCGTATGCTGTAACCCGAGCATATGGCCAAATTCGTGGGCTGCCACCTGCAGGAGGTCTGTGCCTGGAAAAGGGAAATAGCCCAGCAATCCCCCAGCCATCTGCAGCAAGATACCCAAGCTCCAGACCCCAGCTCAGGGGTCTCTATGATCTTCAGTTGCCCAGTCTGGAAAATGGGTCCCCAGCCCATACCCTGATTGTCCCCAATAGTCCAGGTCTCATCATAGTCGAAGTGGACATCCCCTTCTCGTTGAGTCTTTGGGAAGAAGGCATGGGCCAGGATGCCCCCAGGTCCATCAAATGGCAGGTCGTCCCCATGCGAGTACCTGCAGGTGAGTAGGGGCAGAGTCAGCAACTGTTGACAGCTGGGGTTGTTCTCACAGGGGTTCCAGGCCACCAGTTCACCTGGTGAAGTCGATCATAATGTCAGCGTCGCCCTCATACACTTCAGTAAAGGTTAGTGGTGTCACCTCGCTCCACACCTGTAGGGCTTCTGCCATAGTCTGCCGCACCTGCTCCCGCAACAGCTGCCACGGGAATCGAAGGATCCTGAGGGGAGAAGAAGGGGCCTGTGCCTCACTCACTGTATGGTCAGCCCCTGATGGTTGTTGGGCCAGGAATTGCCCCTGGATGGGGGGTGCATGCATGCAGGGCACAGTCCAGGTGAGCCTCAGGTGTGATGCATGGATCTCTCTGCCACATGGGCACATTTTTGTGTGGGTTTGTGTCCTTATGTGCACACAGGTGTCTGCTTTCAGTGGGAAGAACACAGGACTAGAAGCCCCAAGACCCACCTTGTAGACCTGACTGTACTGCTGACTGTGGGGAGACATTGACCCTTTGACCTGGCCCCTCTCAGTCCCCCGTTCCCACCCAGGACATTTCTGAGGCCCCCAGCAGTCTTAGCTCCAATATCGTGTTATACCACAGTGGTCTTCATGTGCCTTCTCTCCTAAACCAAGTCCCCACCTGCACGATGTGTAAGTTTCAGCTTCTGTATCACTCCCAGGGGCCTCAGGTCACCTGAGCTATTACCTGTCCCCTCACCACTGTTTCCCACCTGCATGGATCCTGAATTATGATGCAAGAGCTGAACAATGACAAGTTTAATGCCCAGCTCCTCAAGAGGACAGATTATGGCTGCCTCATTCACCATGGAGTACCAGAGCCTGGCCTTTAGTAGGTCCCTATAGAGACTGCCTGTGGGACTGACAGCTGCACCCCAGCATGTCTACAGGGCGACCAGCATAGGCTGACAGAGGCACTGTCCCTCTGCCATGGGAAGGCATATTTGTGGAGAGGTGCTCTCTGTGTGTGCATCTAAGTTAGGGTTCACAGATGTTGGTCCATGGATGGCTCAGAGGTCGGTGGACTCACAGTTCTCTTAACCATGGAGATGTAGCCCTGGCATGTGTCTCGAGAAGCAGGTATGGGGGTGGCAGGTGTATACACAGATACACAGGGGTCTAGAGTCTGTTCATGGCTGAGGGTCCTACCTGTAGGTGAGGTCAGTCTTCTCCCAGCGCCCACCCGACAGCACAAACCGCTTTTGTCGGTTCCGGGCACTCAGCCCATCAGGTGGGTCAGGTACGCCACAGCGGGGAGGTCTGGGGCCCCTGGAAGGCTGAGGAGCTTCCTGCAGAGCAGGGGGAGGTGCCAGGCTGCTTGGAGGAGCTTCATGCCAGGGCTGTGGCCCCCTCCTCATCAGGTGGCGGTGGTGGGGGTCCTGGGCAGGAGAGAAGATGGGGAGTCCTCACTGCCCACTGGGTGAGGTGTGGGCTGTCAGCATACCCATACTCAGCCTCAGCCCACTGTGTCACTGGGCAAGCCAAGGGCAAGAGAAGGCGTGCTCGCTGTCATACTGCAGGCCCTTTGGCATGAGCTGACTAATTTTCTGATGACCTGTTCCAAGACCTCCTACTGCCTGCCACTCCCTCCTGGAAGGACCCAGAGCTGACTGTCACCTACTCAGGCCATTTGAGCTGGTGAGGTCTGAGTGGGGACACAGACTGTACTCTCCACACACACTCAGAAAAGGACAGGCAGAGCCTCCTGCTTCTCCCACTGGCCCCTCCCCCAGCAAATACCTCCCACCTCCCTTTCTTCCCAAGTCCCCTCCCTGCCCCTCCCAGCTCCCAAGTCATGTAAGCTACTCCTGCCCAGGACACCCACCTCAAACAATCTTCACTGTGCAGAGGCTGCAGCTCTGCCTCGATTTGCTTACCTGACAAATGGGGATGCTGCCTCTCCATAGTGTTGATCTGAGGATGAGCCAAGACAATGCATTTAAAGCATTGGCCTGGAGCCAGGTACCCAGTAAGGACACTTGAAAGTGAGGTCTTATTTCTAAGGGCAGTTTTGCTCATACCTCACCAGGGCTGGGTGCACGGGAGGGCTAGATGTGGTCTGCCTGCCCCCTCCATGCCTGAGTGTGTGGGGGAGCAGACAGTTACCAGCCACCTAGCCCCACCACAGCCCCAGGTGATTCTGACCTGGAGCTGTCACCCTCCACAAGTCCCAAGGTGGAGGTTACAGTTCTAGTGCATGAAAAAAGCAAAAGCCCAGAGAGGTTGGGAGACCTTGCGAAGTCATCCTCCAATGACATGGCAGGGCCAATGAGGACTCTGATGACCCAGGCCAGAGGCAAAGGCCTAGCTGTGGACACTGTGCAAAGCTGGAGGAGAGGCATAGAGTGGTGCTGTTCGTTGAGATACTCAGCACCTGTCTGGTCTGAGCAGCTGAGGCTGACCCACAGCCATATCTGGGGAGAGAGCCAGGCCACCCAGGCCCCACCCTCAACCTTGGCATCTGGCAATTCTCCCAGGCCCCAGGCTTCTGATCAATGTCCCAGCCCCCTCCTTCAAGCTTCCGATTAGGGAGCCACCAATAACTCAACCCCCAAGAATACCCTACTACAAAGGGTATTATACCCTGAACAACTGGAGCTTCTGACCCCTAGGTGGCTATGGAACTACTTGGTGGGTGGGGCCCGGAACCAGCTTTCCCTTGGTTTGAGCTTGTTTATCAAATGGTTGGTTACCTGGCAGAGCCCAGCCTCACTGGGTTGTGGGTTCCAGCCAACACTGGGTTTACTGCTATTAAGTATTTATCACTATTGCAGTTCATCTGCCAACAGCTCCATGGACATGCTCTTAGGCCCTGATGGGACGTCTCACCAACTCTACCTTCATGATGCCCATGTCTCAGATGAGGAAATGGAGCCCAAAGAAGTTAAGCAATGTTCCCAGGTAATATCTGGCAGATGGCAGGCTGTCTGTGCTCACAGCCCACCCTACCTGCTGCCTCTGCTATGCTCTTTGTGCTGGAGTCACCCTCTCCTGGAGGAGGGACCCAGGCTGGCCTCACCTTGGTGAAGAATAGAAGGAATGGGAAATTATTAAGCACCTACTACTTCTCAGGCACTTTGCAGGCAGGCTCATTGAACCTCCTCCCATACGGTGGGGATGATACATATGCAAGGTCTTACACTGAAGCTATAGACCTCGGGTCTGTGTGACCAACCATGAGGGCTTGCCCCCTCCCCTCCTCACCCTGCCCCCTTGACCTCCAGGATACAGTTTCCTTTCCCAACCCTGGCAGAGATAAGAGGACCCTCTCCGGGAAGGGTATGGCCATTCCATCCCCTGGGAGTCCCAAACAGCCCAGAGCCCAGTCTGCCAGCTCTGCCTATGTCCCTGGGCAGAAATCCCTCCTCTCCTTTGCTCCCAGTGAGGTCTGGAGCAGCCAACTATGGAGGGAGGGTGGGTAATGGACACACACACTGTCCCTTTCTCTCCTGCCCCTACAAGGCACCAAATCCACCCCCAGAGACCTGGATCATGGCACTCTCAGTGCAGCAGAAAGAGCCATAGACTGAGATTCAGAAGGCCCAGTTCTATGCCATGGCACCTCTGGACAGAGTGAACCTGGGCAAGTCACAGTCTTCTCTTAGCCTTGATTTCCCCACCTATCAAATGGTGATAGTGCCATGGCAAAGAGCCAAATTCCCTCCTTCTGTAACGCCTGCTGCGGCATCTGGCAGAGCCTCTTCCCTGGCCCTGCTCCTTGCCCCTGTGAACCCTCCTGCTCCACACCTGGGAATCTGCTCTCACCAAATTCCCTAGAGCTCCCACCACCCCCATGGCATCCAACTCCCCAAAAGTCTCCAGACTTAAAATCATAAAACAGGAGTTGCAGCCAGAAGGGAGCCTGCAAATCCAGAGAAGAGTGACTTATGCAGGGCCAAAACCTCTTGCTCCCTGTCTGTGTCATGTTCATTGGTCTTGGAGAGAGAATAGGCAGAAGGCACCAAAATGAAGGCTCCAGCCAGTGAGATCTTTTGGGAGGAGCCCATCATTCAATGGCTCTTGGCCTCTGTTTCCTCATTAAGGAATGGGACACATGCTCCTTGCCCCACTGACCTCCCACACTTCCTCTTTCTGTGTCCTTCCTGGCCTGGGGCCAGGTGGCCTAGCAATAAGGCCTGGCACGAGGCAGCCTGCTGATTCCTAGGATGGGCACACTGGTCCTCCCAAAGCTGCCGGGATTCAGTGAGGTGGGTGGTGGGCAGACCACACCTGGCCTTATCTACAGCTCTGGGGGTCAGGGAGCAGGCATTTCCTAGAGCCCATAGAGGGCAATGACTTTACCCAGGGCCACACAGCAAGTGGGGCAAGAGCTGGTCCTAGACCCAGGGCTCATGCTTCCCTACCCAGAGCTCTCCTCACATCCCTTTAGTTCTTGGCCTATCTCCAAAACCCACATTGCTGAGAAGTTTCTCTTCTGGTGCCCTCCCTCCTCCTGGGCCAGTATCCTCCCTTGTGTGGTGACTGTCCAGCTCGCTCACCCTGTCCTCCTCTGGCAGGCACTAAACCACAGCCTCAAACACCCTCGAGGAATTTCTCGGCTGACTCAGTCTCTTGGCTGAGCTCCAGGTTCAAGGTCAGCCCCTGGGACAACTTCCAATCAAGAAAATGGGAGGCATCCGGTAAAGGGGAGATAAAGGAGGACCTTAGACTAGAAGACTACTGGGTAAAACCAGGCTAGCTGTGTCCCTCTCTGGGCCTCAGTTTGCTATTGGTCCAGTAGGGACAATTAATCATATCTATGCCTTCTGCTCTTGGCAGGAGGTAACCCTGTCAGGAGGCTGTGAGGAAGACATGAGAGCATCATCATGCCATTCTATTTAGCATCAAGCCCCTCTGAGGTTCAGAGAGGTCAAGCAACCTGGTCAAGTCACACAGCCAGCTGGCAGGCAAGACCACATTCTCCCCAACTCTGTGGCCTAATCTTCCCCTTCCCATCCCCTCCCCTGCTGGTCCCAGGGGCTGCAGCTGCAGGACTTTCATCAACCCTGAAAGCTGCTGAACTGGGATGGATAAATATTTACAGAGCTTTCCTGGCCCTGCTAACAGCAGCCTGGGGATAAACACATCAGAGGCGACCCCAAATGCTCTCTGCATAGCTGCAGAGTGACAGACAATAGCCCAGCTCAGACCCAGCCCCAACTGACCCTGCATAAGCATCAAAGTGTCAGCTACAGGTGACAGAATGTCTCCAGTGTGCCCAGCTGTACCACACCTCAAATTACCTCCTTTAATCCTCATTGCCCAGCAGTGGGCACTGTTATCTCCCACCCACCCTTGATAACACAGAGAGTGAGGTTCTGAGGCACAAGAAGGCTCACATGGTTCAAACCCAGATCTCTCCAGTTCGCAAACCTGTGGGTTCAACTGCTACCCACAGTGATATCCAACTGCCCCAAAATCTAGGGGACTGGGAGAGGCTGGGGAAGAGGCAAGACTTCCAGACTGAGGTACCTCACACTCACCATACCCCACCTGTCCTATCCTCCTGTTCCCACAGCCAGTGAGGGTAAGGCTGGCCAGGGCAGAGCAGTGGGTGGGGGGTGGACAGAGGGGCCCAGCCTGGTCAGGCCTCCCTCCTCACCAGACCAGTCCCACACCCCTGCTTATCACACCTCCTAATGGTTCCATACCTGCCTGAGCTGTCTGGATGCCTCAGTAGCCAGCAGGGGTGGGATGGACTCCCAGGGGCCCAGGGGCCTGCAGTTGCCCAGGCTCTGACTCCAGGCCCTGCCTGGCCACCCTGTTACTGGTCCCTCGAAGCCGCAGCTCAAGGGGAGCATGCAGCTTTCTGGGCACATGCAGACTGTCACACACATCCCATGACCGGTCCTCCCCTTCTCACTCTGCTGCTCTCACATGGACTCTCTTCTACTCTTCAGATCACACATTCTTCTCCCTTCCCTTGCTTTCCTACCCCCTTGCTCTCTGAAGTTCTCAATTCTCCACCCTTGGCCCCCCTTCCTTCTCACGTCTTCAGTCATACACACACATTGTAGCTCTCTCACTCATGCTGTCCTGGCTCCAGGCCTCCCAAACTTGCCACTTGCAGGTGCCTAGGTGTTGGCGCCTCCTCCAGGCTCAGACACCATTTCCCCCAGCACAGCTGCTGCCCTCCCCAGCTTTTCCTTAATCCTCCAGCCTACTGCACACCTGGAGGTGCGCTCATTAAGGCCACACACCTGGAAGCTGACACCAGCCTGAGACCTGCTCTGCTTTGTCCCTGATAGAGGGCCCTGTAACCACTCCCTCTGCTACCTCCCTCAGCACACCCTGTAACATCTGCGGCTGGGGCACCGAGGAGCGGGTTCTCACGCTGAGAGGGGGCGTGTGTTTAGCGCCGAGTGCCGGCGCTAGCCTGGACGATCCCTGTGCAGGCTCCACTTGTACACCGCCAGGGACTGAAAGCTCACTATCTATCACGCCCACGGACCCAGAGGACGTTTTGGGTAACAGACGGCTCCAGGGTACCTCGGGCGTCCCCATGGGTCCAGCTCAACCTCTGGGCCCAGCCCGCGAGGAGCGACCGGCCGGTTTCTGGCACTCACCGGCGGCCGCAGGGCCCGGGCCAGCAGCGGCGGCAGCGAGAGCATCAGCAGCAGCAGCAGCAAAGGAAGCAGGAGGGCGCGCGGTGCCGCACCGGGGAGCCGAGTGGCCCGAGCCATCCGCCCCAGGGCTGCTGGGCCTGCTGGGCCGCGCCGGGCCACCGCCCCTTATAGCCTCTGCTCCGCCCCCGCCCCGCCCCCGCCCCGCCCCCCACGCCTTTTGTTCTAAACTCTCCCGGCCTTGAGGCGGCCGCCAGGATGGGGGAGGTGGACAGGGAGGGGCTGGCTGGGTAGGGACCTGGGGCCCAGAGACCCCGTCCTAAGCAGAGGCGGGCCGAGCCTGTGGTGTGAGGCCTGGTGCTGGGTGATCCTAGCCGGCTGGTGCTGTTTCGGGCCTCAGTTTCCCCAAAGTGCGGTGGGGAGCCTGAGAGAAGTTGGGTTTCACTCCTCCTAGCCCCTATTCCCATCTTTGGAAGGCGCATCCCCTGGTGGCCTGGCCTCTGACCTGTTAACCTGTGACAGGTGATTGTACCCACCGGCAAGTTTTCTCACTCCTCAGAGCCTTGCTGATCCATCTGGAAGATTGCACTCTATCCCCTATGAGAAAACAAATTTTAAAATGTGTCCCAGGGGAAACTGAGGCATGTGGAGCAGCCTGGCCAGTGCCCCAGCTTGGAACAGGGCCATAGACAATTTATAAATGGGAAAACTAAGGTCCCAAGAGAGAAGGGCCAGAACAGGGTTTTCCATACCAGCAGGCAATGGAGCGTGATCCGGAGTTTCTCTAGCTGGTCAGCTGGAGCAAGGGTGCTGTCAGAGGAGAGTGGGGCCCTGGGGGCTCAGGCTGTCCCTTCATCAGGGACCAACAGGCTCCTCAGGACCTCCTGAGACCTGAGGAGGGGGTGGTGTGAACATGCTGGAAGGTGTCCTCCAGTCTCTTACACTCCCTGTGATGACCAGAGGCCTTCTCACCAGGCAATCTGCTCCACCATTGATAACACTGCTGAGCCAAAAAGCAGGCAGTGGCTTTTGTCCTGGTGGGCAGGGTCCTGAGTGTTACAAGGTGAGGCTGTGGGCACCCAACCTAGGCCTCTTATCAGACAGGGTTTGCAGACTACTGTGGACTACTCCTAGAAAAGGGAGGGAGGCTGGGAGGGAACAGAGAACAATCAGGCTGATTCAACCCTCCATCCTGGTCCCAGCCCAGGAGCTTTCACAGCTCTCCAGGAAGGCTCCACGGAGATGCCTAGAGGGCAAGGAGATGACTAACAGCAGTGATTTTTACTGCCTAAACTGTTAGCAACTTTTTCTGTAAAGTGACTCACTTTTAAAAATTGAAATGCCTACTTCAGCCTCATTCTTAGCAATATTGGTCAAGAAATCATGGATTTGATGAGCTAGTTATACATTTTTTTCTGCTTTACATGAAAATACATAATTATTTCAATAAAACATTCATTAAGTGGTCTTATTTGCCTCCAGGGCTGCATGGCTGTGCTTTGGGGAACCTGCAGTCCACCAGTCATGAGAGCTGAAGTAACAGCCACCTGTAATGCAGGCCCAGGGTAGAGGGCCATGATTACAAGCTAACCATGCACTCAGCAAGGTGGGCTGGTCACTGGGGGCTTCTTGCCAGAGGAGGACCCTGATAAGCCTAGAAGGATGAGCCCATTTGGCAAATGCAAACAGGTGGGCAGGGACTGAATGAGCAAAGAAGTAGAGGCTGGACCAGGACTGGTATGTCTATGAGGAGGAAATGGTTTACCCTTCACATGCTTACCTCACCTTGAAGTGAGTGATCACCCCCACTTGAGAGAGTAGAAAACTGAGGCCCAGGCCCAGACAAGGGTTAGGGGAAGGCCCTGCTTCACAGACTGGCTGGGAGGAAAGAACATAGTAGTGCACATGACTTGCAGGTATATGTAGCCTATAAATGTTTTGCACACACATAACTGACTATGCCAGGCATGGTCCCTTGCCCCTTTCCCCTTCCCCCTTCCCTGCTTTTCCTTTCTCTCTCCCACCTTCTCACAGAGGGGTCTCCCCTCTCCACTTTAATCAACACCTTCCTTCATGTTTTTGCACTGGGTGATTTCATCTTCCTCACAATCTTTGTGCCACCGGGTTTCAGTTTCCCCTCCCATGGCACAAGGGAGAGTGATGGTGGGTGCAGTAAAGAAGTCAGCCAAGCCCTGGCCGGTTTGGCTCAGCGGTTGGAGCGTCGGCCTGCGGTCCGGAGAGACCCGGGTTCGGTTCCCGCTAAGGGCACGTACTTCGGTTGCACTTTGTCCCCGGCCCTGGTTGGTCGTGCGGGTGGCAGCCACTCAATGTGTTCCTTCACATCGATGTTTCTCTCTCTCTCTCTCCCTTCCTCTCTTTCTCCCTGTACAAAAAATGGAAAAATATCCTCGGGTGAGGATAAAAAAAAAAAAAAAAAAAAAAGTCAGCCAACCCCAGGGTAATAATATGACCACTGCGAAGTCACTCAGAAAAGACCATAAAACCTGGAGTTCCTGAAGGGCTGGGAAGCGTCCTAAATCCCCATTGCCGCCCTCCCCTCAGCCTAGAACCAAGGTGGTAAAATCAGGAAGCTAAAGGATTCAAACATGTACAAACGCCTCTAGACACTCAGGTCACAGCCTTTGGGATGGGCACGCTGTTTGAATATGGCGTAAACGTTGTCAGTGTGTGGCGCTGTTTTCATGGGGCAGGGGTGTCAGGCCGGATGGAGGGCCACGCTGGGGGCCTCATTGCACCCGGGGCGTTGCTTCCGAAGCTGCCGGTGCCTGCAGCGCCTTTTGGCCAGGAAGGAGTCGAAGGCAGGCTCCAGACGCCCCCTGGCGGGGATTCTGGAGACAGGTCCCGCCAGGCCTTCCCCAGGGCACCTCTTCGCAGCTCTAGTCCCCCACCCCAACCCACCCCGGAGACCCTGAGACCACACAGTAGTTCGCAACCCTGTCTGATAGGAGGGGGAAGAGTGAAGCTCGGGCTGGCCCCTCGTGCCACCTCCTAGGGGGCCTCAACCGGTCGCCTCTCATTCTCCTCGGCCCTGGAGCATTGAACAGCACCCAACTCCACTCCCGCGCTCCGTAGTCGCCCTGCGTAAATCCTCCTCGCTCTGCGACATTGGCTCATATCCCCAGAGCCCACGTAGCTCGAGCCAAGCGCAAGAAGGGCTCGGGGCCACGTTTTTAATTTTTTTTCTTTATTGATTTTTAGAGAAGAAGGGAGAGGGAGAGAGATAGAAACATCCATGAGAGAGAACTTCGATTGGCCGCCTCCTGCTGGCCCCCCACTGGGGATTGGGCCCACCACCTGGGCAGGTGCCCCGACCGGGAATCGAACCAGGGACCTCTTGGTGCATGGGTTGTCATGTGTCTCAGCCACTGAGCCACACCAGACGGGCAGGGGCCACGTTTTCAGCTGAAACGGCCAGCGAGACAAGGGGAGACTGAAATAGGTAAGTACGAGGGACACGCGGGAGTGAGGTGCGGCGGCACCCGCGGCCCCTCCTGCTGGGGGCGTGTCCCCGAGGCTCCGCCCCTTGCTTCCGCAGCGACTAGCTGTGCCGCGTTGGTCCCGGGGACAGAATCGCCGCCACTGTTGCAGTGTCAACAGAGACCCACCACCGCGACCATGCCCCGAGGGAGCCGCAGCATGGCCGCCCGGCCAGCCAGGTGTGAGCGGGACAGGGGCCTCGTGGGGAGAGGGCTTGGGAAGCGCGGGTACTCCTCCAAGGGCGTGACAGCGTGACCTTGGCGACAACTGCGCCATCTTAGCGGTTGCTGGGGCGGTAGGTGAATGCCACAACCACGTGTCTAAGACGGTGGTCGTCCACCCTACGGGAGGAGTAAAGGGGCATGCATGTCCAGGGGCTGCGGGCCCCTCGGACCTCTGGCCTGGGGTCCGGCCAGGATTAACCCTGCGATCCCCTACCCTGCAGCCGCCCTGCCGCACCTTCTGCCCACCCGCCCGCGCACCCGCCCCCCTCGGCCGCCGCGCCAGCCCCTGCACCGTCGGGCCAGCCGGGCTTGATGGCTCAGATGGCGTCCACGGCCGCTGGGGTAGCTGTGGGTTCGGCTGTGGGACACGTCGTGGGCAGCGCCCTGACTGGAGCCTTCAGTGGGGGGAGCTCAGAGCCAGCCCAGCCTGCCGCTCAGCAGGTAAGCAGTGGGCTCCGGAGAAACTGAGGCCGACTTCTTTGAAGACCATGGAACAGGGAGTCCAGCCAGAACGTCCACCGAGTTGTGTACGGGCATTTCCTAAGCTGCCTCAGGCCCAGGACTTTGCCCAACCAGGGTCCTATTTCTCACTGGCTGTTGCCCTACTATCACTCACATGCAGGCTCTCCCAGGCCCTCCCCTTGGGCCAAGGTCCCTAGACTCTCAGGGACAGATGCCAACCAGCTCTTTAGAGATGGGGAAACCCAGGCTCTTAGGGCTCAGAGATTGGCCTAAGGTCACCTTACCCTAGTAGAGGGGAGGGATGGAAGTTCCTGAGTCTCCTGTCTCCCCGCTCCCATGTCATGCACCGTGGTCCCTAGGTCCAAGGGCAAAGGGACGTGGGTCTGGGGCCTGCTCTCTGCTGACCTGTCACCCACTGGGCATCCTCCCAGTCCTGAGCCAAATGCAGACTCAGTGGCAGGTCAGGGGTCATGAGGATCAGTGTGGCTGAGCCAAGAAGTTGCTAGAACTTATGGGGGTGGGGCTTATACTCCAAGAGTACTAGCAGAGCACTCACTGGGCCAGAGCACTCACTGGGCTTTTCTAGATTCTTCTCCGTGCCCATTATGAGGCAGCAGGAAGATGCTGTCTAGCATCAGCTGAGTGGCTTTGAGAGGACTGTGGGGCTGGCTCACTCTGTTTAACAGATGGAGCAGCTGAGTCTGCTGGTCCTGGGTCATTCAGCCTGCCTGGACCCTTTGGACACCCAGATTGGGGTTGTGGGGATGGGTAGGTGACACCCAGATTTGGAACCCACTTCTCAGTACCAACCTTTAACTGACCTTGTTCCCTCCTGCGCCATCCCAGGCCCCTGCCCGCGCTGCCTCTCAACCCCTGCAGTTGGGACCCTGCGCCTATGAGATCAAGCAGTTCCTGGACTGCTCCACCACTCAGAGTGACCTGTCCCTGTGCGAGGGCTTCAGCGAGGCCTTGAAGCAGTGCAAGTACAACCATGGTGAGCAAGTGGCCCCTATCCCAGGCAGGGGCTGGGAGGGACAACCCCTCTGCCTATACCTTTGGGTTGACCACCAGCCTGTGCCACCTCTCCCTCCACAGGTCTGAGCTCCCTGCCATGAAGAGACTGGGGCACACTGGTGCAGATTGGAGCAGATTCGGGGTCAGCTCTGCACTAAACTCCACCCCTTCACTGACAGCCAGACTACAATGCCAGAATGTACCCATGTAGGTGGGATTTTGTGGGTTTCTTACCCCAAAAATAACCAGAGACATGAATGTGCAATTAAAAGAGTTTATTTTAGACCAGAGCCTGCTGTGTGCTCTCTCACTGGCCTGTCTGCTGGGAGCACCTCGGTTGAAGAGGTGATATCGATGATTCACCTTAAGCTGGCTTCCTGTGTGGGAAGGAAGGAGCCCTTTTGTAATCCCAAAGCCTTGGGCAGTCAAAGCTGGTGCTGAGGCATTAGCAGGTGACTTCAAGGGCATCTGATTCTGGGAGCTGGAATTCTCAGTTGTCTCTCCTCTCAGGGATGCCTGCCCCTTCCACCTTTCCTGTCTGTCTCTAGATCCCCTTCCTGCACCCACATCTTAGGGGTCCCTAGTAGCATCACAGCCTGTCTGTGACCTTGCCCCTCTTGCTGATACAACACAATAATTCCAGATTTTATAAGAGGAATGCTGCTAGGCCACTATCTGTTTGGGCCTGATTGCACAAGGCAGAGATCTCAGCCAACCCCCTTGGAACTGAGTCCAGCGTGGTCACCAGGCTGTGATGTGCTCAGTCATGGGGCCTGCTGGAATGGAGGAGCAGGTCTGTAAACCTAGTGCAAGCCCCACCATCACACGTGCTGTGCTGTTGCCTTCATAGAATTCAGAGCATCTACTGAATGCCAGGTCCTATGCCACATGTCCTGGGCACTGAGGATGTTCTTGCCCTTGGGCACTTACACTCCAGTGGGGTGGTGGGCACCTGTCTCTGGGTATAGTGTGTTCCATCTTTCGGGTATATGTGTGTGTGAGAGATGGGGGTTGACGTTGGGGGGAGCCTGCTCACCTCTCAGTACACAAGTGTCTGTCTCCTGGGAAAGGGTCCCACCTCTGAGTGTGAATGTCCCCCCAGGTGTCCATGTCTCCTCCTTACCTGGCTCCTGGCCCCAGATAATGGGTCCTGGACAGCCGGGAACCCAACCTTTGGGGCTTTGAAGGAGGACCTTGCTCCTGGTGGCCATACCGAGTGCCAGTACATCTCTTCCAGCTGTTGCCCATTGGCGGTAGGCCCGATAGCCGGCGTAGCTCCTCTGGAAGGCCCAGGAAACCCTGACTGTTGGGTCTGGTGAAAAGATGCTCCCTCCCCACCCCAGGGCTCTACCATGATACTCACTTGCCAGCTCTGGACACCGGTCATCCAGGTTTTCCAGTAGGGACTCATAGCGAGTGGGGGCCCCACCCTCCCCATCTGTGGAGGGAGGAAGAATGACTCCTGACTGGCCCCTGCTTCTCACTCTAGACCTGTTTGCTGGCTCAACCTGGAGCCAGGACAGGCCATTGGATAAAAGGGTCAGGGCTAGTTTCTGGCCAAAGTGGGGAGCTGGGTAGGGCCTTAGGTGGTCTCTGGACTATTGTCCCCCCTCTTACACCAACATAACTATGGGGAGAGGGGAGCAAGTCTTGGGCCCCACTTACTGATGATCTGCACGAGGATATAGGTCCCACGCTCTTGTAGCAGGGAGCTACCTGTGGAAGGGGTCTGGGGAGCCACCTCCTCTAGGTCTTTGTCCAGGCTCACCAGGTGCCCATCCTCAGCCAGGAGAGCGATGGTTGCTAGGAGGGCAGGGAGGGAGGCAGGGCAGGGCTGGTACCCATGCCTGTAGCCCTCTGCCCCCACCCCATCACCCATCCTTGCCACCTCACCATCTGGAGGCACCCGACCCCTCTGCCTTAGGTGAGCAGCGAGAGTCACCAGGCTGCACCACAGGTTCACCAGCTCCCAGCAGCCAGCTGTGGAGGAGGGGCAGAGATGAATGAATGGGACCCTCTATTTCCCCCCAATTTGGGACCCTCTGCCTCTCCCATCTCTTTTTTAAGTTATTTTATTGAGGTAAAATTTGCATAACGTAAGCCCTGACTGGTTTGGCTCAGTGGTTAGTGCATTGGTGCTGGTCCAGCTGGGCAAGGGCATGCAGTTTAAAAACATCCTGCAGCCCTGGCCAGTTTGGCTCAGCGGTTAGAGCGTCGGCCTGCAGTCCGGAGAGACCCGGGTTCGGTTCCCGCTAAGGGCACGTACTTCGGTTGCAGTTTGTCCCCGGCCCTGGTTGGTCGTGCGGGTGGCAGCCACTCGATGTGTCCCTTCACATCGATGTTTCTCTCTCTCACTCTCCCTCCCACTCTATCTGTACAAAAAATGGAAAAATATCCTTGGGTGAGGATAAAAAAAAAAAAAAAGAAAGTGCTAAAGAAAACATCCTGCAGCCCAGTTGGTGTGGCTCAGTTGGTTGACCATCATCCTATGCACCAGGAGGTCACTAGTTCGATTCCTGGTCAGGCCACATGCACAGGTTGCAAGCTCGATACCCAGTAGGGGGCGTGCAGGAGGCAGCTGATCTGTTTCTCTCTCATTGTTTCTATCTCTCTCCCTTCCTCTCCCTGAAATCAACAAATATATATGTGTTTTTAAATAAATAAAAATAAAAACACCCTCCATGGTAACACGGCAGATATTCTAGGAGAGGGGCTGTGTGAATTTCTTGGTACCCAGCCAGGGTTTTCCCCTCCAGGGACGCACTCCAGGCACTAGTTCTGCTTCCTTACAGAGCTACTCCCCTAAACCGAGCATCCCCGTCCCCACGCTGCCTCCCTTCCTCCCCAGGGCAGAGGGAAGCAAGCTGAGTGTACCATTCCCTGACCCATCTGCTGGGACAGGGGACCCTACTTACCTCCAAACATCACTGTAATAAACATGGCGGCAGGGTAGAGGAGAAAGATGTGGAGGCTTTGGTACCCCGACTTCCAAGTAAGGGAGGAAATGGGGCTGAGTTCTATTCAGGGTCCGGGCCCTGCTGGGAGATGTATGTGTGTGAGGGTGATGGGCAGGTGGACCCTGGCCAAGGTCCGTCCCTACTTGGCCATTTTTGGGACTGGGTCCTTGCAGTAGTCCAGGACCCTTGGCCTCCTCTTCCTCCTGCTGGCTGGTCAGAGTAGCGGGAGGAGACGGAGGCCCTCCCAGCTTCCAAGCTGATCTCCATGGCAGTGGTAGCTGCCAAAACATCCAGGCAGGAAATGCCTTCTCCCCTGTATCCAGGTAACAGGACCAGCAGAGCTAGGGCAGGGCCTGTAGCCTCGGTTTCCAGGGATGTCTAGAGACCACATTCTCCTACCAGTAGAAACTTAGCTCCTAGTCTGAAAGTGGGGGATGTTCCTGCGGGTGGGGCAGTGGCCCTGGGAAAACCCCCAGTGTGAGCTAGTAGCCGGCCAGGGGCCTTGGCCAAAGCATGGGGTCCTCACCAACCTTGCAGGCTCCCCACCAACTCAAGGCCCCATTCCCTGATTTCACATTCTTTCCTCTGCCTCTGCCTTCCTGTTCATTCCCAGTCTCCCCTCTTTTTTTCTGTTATTATTTATTTATTTAATCCTCACCAGAGGACATTTTTTCATTTTTTGTTTAGATAGAGTGGGAGGGAGGGAGAGGAAGAGAGAGAAACATCGATGTGAAAGGGACACATCAAGTGACCACCACTCGCACAACCCAACCAGGGCCGGGGACAAACTGCAACTGAGGTACGTGCCCTTAGCAGGAATCGAACCCGGGTCTCTCTGGACCACAGGCCGATGCTCTAACTGCAGAGCCAAACCAGCCAGGGCAACTCTTCTTATTTTTTTTTAAGTTAAGTTTATTGAGGTAAAATTTGCATACAGTAAAATTCACCCTTTTTAGTGTTTTGAGTTTTGGCAAATCTCATATAACCACCACCACAGTTGGGATACAGAACATTTCCATCACTTTCCAAAATTTCTTTTATTTATTTATTTTTTTTATCCTCACCCGAGGACATTTTTCCATCTTTTGTTCAGATAGAGTGGGAAGGAGAGAGAGAGAGAGAAATATCGATGTGAAAGGGATACATTGAGTGGCTGCCACCCACATGACCCAACCAGGACCGGGGACAAACTGCAACCAAGTTACGTGCCCCTAGACTAAACCTGAGTCTCTCTGAACTGCAAGCCAACCTCTGAGCCAAACCGGCCAGGGCCCAAAATTTCTTTATGCCCCTTTGTTGTCAACTCCGGGCCCAGGCAACCACTGCGTTTTCCAGAATGTCCTATAAGGGAATCATACATTATGGAACCTTTTGAGTCTGGCTTCTTTCTCTCAACATTACACATTTTAGATTCACTGAAGTTGTCCTATATATCAATAGTTTGTTCTGGGAGAGGGGGACTGGATGAAAGAAGGTATAGGGACTAGCCAAAGAAAGTATATGCATAACCCATAGACACAGACAATGGTGTGGTGATGGCCAGAAGGAATGGGGGACAGGAACTGGGTGGAGGTAGGCAAAGGAGGGGGAGATGGAGACATCTGTAATAGTGTCAACAATAAAAATAAAGTTGAAGCCCTGGCCGTTTGCTTAGCGGTTAGAGCGTCGGTCCACAGAGCAGAGAGTCCCGGGTTCGGTTTCCGCTAGAGGCACATACCTCGGTTGCAGTTTATCTGGTAAAGCCAACAGATCAGTAGACAATTGCCACTGAGAAGACAGCTTGTTACTCACAGTTCCCAAGAGGTGGGGGTACACCACGTCTCCAGGGTGGGTGTCACATGGGGAAGCACCAGTGTTATCAGGAGGCACAGGGAGAGGGGGGAACTGTGGGCTGGAGTCTTTATTGTAGGAACAGGCAAGGGAGGGGAAGCAGGCTCAGGAGTAATTGCAGTGGGCTCTGGGGCATAGGGGATAGTCCTGATTGTCTGGTATCTATCTGGATAGTTAGGGTAGGAGGATAGTGGCCCAGTATGAGCCCAATAAAGGAGGTGGTTGGGAGTGTGGGCTCAGGATTGATTGGTTTGTAGTTGGAAAGTATCTCTAGGAGCTGGATAACCCTGGGAGGGGCAGTTCTCTAAGGTCAGCGAGGCCCCAGATGTCAAAGCATCAGAACTCAGAAACTAAAGGCATGATTAATACACGCACTGTGCCTGGCACTGGGCACATAAATCCTATCTTTGCATTTTACAACTCTTGGCCTAGCACTATGCTTATCTTCATTTTTCAGATGAGGAAACTGAATCCCAATGAAAGTCAACTCCCCTCTATCTGGCAAATTAAAGTAACTGACCACATCAAGTGCTGATGAGGATGTGAAGTCTCTTATCCACTAGTGGGAGCGCAGATCAGTCCAAGCATGGTGGGAACGCTGGCAGTATTTACTCCAGTTAAATGTACACATTCCCTACCCCCAGGCAATTCTAGTGCTGGGTGTCTGTCCAGCAGAAATGAAAACACAGGTCATCAAAGACACTGACAGGATCACTCACAGCAGTTTTATTTGTAATGGTCAAGGGCTGGAAAGTACATAAATGTCTGATAACAGGGGAATGGATAAACTAATGGATTACACAGAGATATGAGAATGAGTTAAATATCACTGCACACTCTGGATGATGCCCATAATGTTGAACAAAAGAAGTAGGAACAAAAGAGGACACAGTATAATTTCATTCATATTAGAGTTCTAGCCCTGGCCAGGTAGCTCAGTTGGTTAGAGCATCATACCGATACCCCAAGATTGCAGGTTTGATCCCTGGTCAGAGCACATATAATGTTCAACCAATGAATGCATAAATAAGTGGAACAACAAATCAATGTTTCTGTCTCTCTCTCTCTCCCCTCCCCCCTAAAATCAATCAATCAGTAAAACAAATAAATAAAAAGAAGTTCTACAGCAGGCAAAACTAATCTAAGTGATAGAAGTCAGAATTATGGTTACCTTTGGGGGTGGAGAGGGGTGGGGTGAATGAGGGAGGCTTTGGGGAGATGAAAGTGTTCTAAATTGTGACCTGGGTAGAGGTTGCAGGTGTGCATGTGTGTGTACATATATATAATCTGATATATAAAATCATTGAGCCATCCTTAAGAGTTGTGTACTTTATCATATGTGAGTTATATCTCAAGAGAAAAGCAGCCCTCTGCTATAATGCATGTGTGGATCTAGGCTCCTATTCTCAGAAGGCCCTGTGGGGTCAGGACTCTCACATTTGGGAAGATGGGGCCTGGCAGATGGGCCCCAGCCACTGTCTCCCCCCACCAATCAATGGGCTGATTTGCATGCCCTGTCGTGGTCCAGTAGCCTCCCTGAAGCACCTGGAGCAACCAACAGAACAGCTTCTGCCTGCCTCCCTGCTGCTGGCCATGGCCTGGTGGTGCCTAACCCTCCTTCTGATTGGAACCCTCCTGGCAGGTGAGCTCTCCCTGGGCCTGGCTCACCTGGGGGTGGGGTAGGGGACAACACTGGCTCCAGAGGCCCCTCCAAGGAAGCAAACTGATGTGGGTAATGGGAGGGTTCTGGAAGGGGCAGTGAGGTGGAGGAGAGCTACCAGTGGTTTTACCTTAGACCTGAGGCAAGTCACTTCTCCATTTCTGATTGACTAGATCGCTAGGGTCCTTTAGAACTTGGACTTTTTAGGGTCTTAGATGGGACTGGAACTGGTCACCTTTAGAGTTTTTCACAGGAGAAGCCGGTGTGGACTGATCCCTACCTCATAGGGCCTCAGGAACAACCTAAATCCAAGGTCCCCAGTGTCCAGTTGCCTGAGGCTGAGCTGATGGGTGGTATAGCTCAGGAAACTTCCTGGAGGTGGTTAGTCTGTAGCCACGGTTTGGAAGAACCAGTGTGACCAAGGGGATAGGGATCTTTAGTGCAAGGGGTAGGAGTGGGCAACAGAAGGAACCAGAGGCCACCAGTCCCACCTTTTAAACTCGAGGCCCTCAACCGAATACAGATCCTTGGGAACATGACACTAATGGGGACTTAGGAGTTGCCAATTTGGTACCCCATCCAGTGCCAGTCCCACAGCACCAGGCCACGAGCCCTTTAGGAACAGGGGTCATTTAGGAGTCTGACCAAGCCTTCAGGAGGCCAGGGTGGGAGAAAAGAGGCCCAGGCCAGACCTGAGCAGATCTGTCTTTCTCAGTCTCCCAGCCAGTCCTGACCCAGCCAGACGCATTGTTGGTCTTCCCCGGCCAAGTGGCCCAAATCTCCTGCATGCTCAGCCCCCGCCATGCCACCATCCAGGACTACGGCGTGTCTTGGTACCAGCAGCGGCCAGGAAGTGCCCCCCGTTATCTCCTTTACTACCGTTCAGAGGAGGATCACCACCGCCCCCCAGACATCCCTGACCGCTTCTCAGCAGCCATAGATGCAGCCCACAATGCCTGCATTCTGATCATCAGCCCCGTGCAGCCTGAGGATGATGCAGATTATTACTGCTCTGTGGGCTATGTATCTTAGGGGTGGGGTGTGGGATGAATGCCTCTTGTCTGTCTCCCACTTCTGTCACTGACCTTAGGGCCCTCTTTCTCTGAGCCTTGATTTTCCTCCTCTGTAAAATGGGTTAATAATATCCAACATGTCAATAATAACTATTCTGAGGGCTATGAGATCCCTGCTGAAAAAGTGTCTGTGATTGGTCTGAGAGGGTGGTGGTGGTGGGGTAGGGATTCTGGGGATTGGTGCACAAGAGGAAGCACCTGAGACCCTTGGGACCGCTGGCCCCCAGGGGGTTCAGACTTGGTGGCCTGGCCTTCCTGTCACCCAAGGAGCTGGAGGGAGAAAAAAAGGAACCAACCCTTGTCACTCTCAGTTCTGCATGGCTGGTTGTAGTCCAATGCTCACTGGGTGACCACTGGGTCCCCATGGAACCCAGGCTGCTAGGTAGGGGAGAATCAGTCCCTGCCTGTTCCTTGATGGGGCAGGGAGGCAGGTGTGTGTATAGGACACTCAGAGGCACCTGAGGGCCAGCATGGAGGGTGCTGAAGGCAGGTGGGCAGATGGCAGGGATGGCTGAGTTCCCCCTCTCAGGAACACGTGTTCTACTGGTCTCCCATGAGAGGGCTGTACTCCCCACCCCCCAGGGGGGCTCTCCCATAGGCAGGTGGGCCCAGGGGGAAGCCCTGAAGGAGAGGGGCAAGTCTTGTCATCAGAAGCAGAGCTGAGCGTCTGGGAGTGGGGTGGGGTTGGCGGTTCAAGAACACACCCCTCTTCCCTCCCGGTTCCCCTAGGAGGTACCTCATGCCCGGAGGTCATCCCTCAAATGAACTGAGTCCAAAGAGGGTCCGCCTACACTCGCAGCTATCTGCTGGGGGCCTTCAGTGGGCCCTTCCTCTCATCTCGGTCTCTGTAGAGGCTGGGTGGGTAGACAGAACCAGAAAGGGAGGGTGAATCTTTACAGGGCTCCCGGGCCTATGACGTGATGGGCTCCACTCTGGGATCCCCTTCTCCTCCTCTTGAAGACCCCAGACACCCCGGCGGCCCCTGGCTTGCCCCCACCCCGAGGGAGTGCAGCGAGCGCTGGGCTTCCAGCCTGCAGCTCTAGACTGGTCTGCCCCTTCTGGCCTCAGTTTCCTCCCCTGCACTCCCGCCATCGCCTGCCCAGCTCTGTATTCCTCCCAGCCGGGCCTCACTTTGAGGGCGGCCCAGAGCCACTGCGTCGAACTGCAGAGACTCTCCTTAAGCCCGGGTGGCAGGCGGCTACGCGAAGCGACACCAGGCGCGGCGGGACCACCGAGACGCGAGGACTTCCGCGCGGCCTAGAGCAGTCCCGGAAGTGCCCGCGAGCGGTGGGGCGGGACTCCGGGCTCTCGGGCCGCCGCGGGCTCCGCGTCAGCAGCCGCCGGGGAGCGAGGCCGGGTCGGCTGCGGGTTGGAGCAGCTCAGGTGCGGCCCCGCCCCGGCCTCCTGCGGCCCCGCCCCGGCCCAGGTGAGCGGCTCCGCCCCGGCCCAGGTGAGTGGCTCCGCGTAAGCCCGTGTGCTCAGCTGTCCCTCCGATGGTTCGGGGTGCGAGCGTCCCCATTGGTGGGAAGCATGTTGGGGCACAGGCGTCGCCACCAGGGTGGTGTGTGCTTGTCCGCGGCTGCTCGCGGGCCTCCAGCCAGGAAACCCTGACCGGACCGAGGGTCTGCCGTGTGCTCGGCCCTGTGGGTTCCCCGAAGGATGGGGTGACGGATGCAGGAGGAGCCGGGGAAGGCCCTGAGAGAGGTGGGAAGCATGGGGTTCCATACCTTTGGCTTTTTTGGTCCAGAAGCGTTTAACACATAGTTGGGGATAGATGAAAGATTGCCAACTTTTAAAACAGAGTGGAGACTTCAGGGTGTAGGTGGTACATAGTGGGAATGGAAAACTCCTAAGGAGGAAACCTTGGAAACACTAGGATTTAACAGGTGGGTGGAAGAAGAGTTGCAGTCCACAGATACCAAGAAGGAGGAATCCAAGGACGTGAAAATTTGGGGGGAGGGGACTTTCAGAAACCAAGGGAATAAAGTGGGCTGTGGGAGTGGAGATGATTTGTCCATTAAGCTCAAAGCCTTGAAGCATCCAGGTAGGCAAGGTGGGTTTAGTAAAGGAGTGGGCCCATATTGTCACATCTTCCAGTTTTTCTAGAGAAAGCCAGAAACCTACTGAGTTTTCCATGTTGGCAGTTAAGTCAAACAAAAAGGAAAAGCCCAGCTCTTTTGAGAGCCAGACAAAACGTGTCTGTGGCAGGATCCCCAGGCTGCCAATTTGCAACCTCTAAAATGAAGGGTTTTGAGGAGGTATTGGTAAGCAGTGCCAGAAGGGGTGGGGAAGTGAGGACTAAGAAGAGAGGATTGGCAGTAAGGAGGTCATTGGATGCTGGATCTGAGTGCTGAAGTCCCAGCTGAAATTGGAAACTTGAAATCTGTCTCGGTGCCATACACAGTCGTATGATTTTCCTTGGCAACATTTAACGTTTTAGCAGGAATTGGCAGAGAAGAAATTAGCGACTGGTTGCAGCAGGGCAAGGAGTTGAGGAATGTGATGTTGGTCAGAGAGTTAGCTGAACTAATGTCTATAGTTAGACCCACTACAGACAGAGAGGGTCTAAGCTAGATGGGAATAAGTAGAACTAGAAGAGGAGAACAGGGTGAAATGGGGAGATACTAGATTTGATGAGGTTGAATGAGAGAACTGGAAGGATTGGAGATTATGGTCGCTGAGGAGGAGCGTATGAGGAGGTAAAGTGAGCAAAGAACATTTATTAAGTGGCTGAAAATTCATTAAGAAGATTTTTCCAGCCCTGGCCGGTTTGGCTCAGCGGTTGGAGCATCAGCCTGCAGTCCAGAGAGACCCGGGTTTGGTTCCCACTGGGGGCGCATACCTTGGTTGCAGTTTGTCCCCGGCCCTGGTTGGGTCATGTGGGTGGCGGCTGCTTGATGTGTCCCTTTCACTTCGATGTTTCTCTCTCTCTCTCCCTCCCACTCTATCTGAACAGAAAAAAAAAAAAGAAGAAGAAGAAGAAGAAGGTATTTCCAAACAGAAATGAGTTCCATCATGACTATTCTGATTATTTTAATTTTTTTTTTGAGTCAGTTACTCTTAAGCTTCAGGGTAAAGATAATAGTACCATTGTATAGAGTTGTGAGGATTAAGTGAGATACGCTTGCAAAAGGTCTAGTAGTGCTTAGCACAGAGCAGATGCTCAATAAACATGAGCTGTTATCATTATGGTACCTGGAGACTTTTCCTTTAGCTGTACAGAAGTTTCTGAATGGGGCCCTGAGAGGCTCCTTAGGGGCTATCACAGTGGGATGAGGTGCTGAGTTGGGGGTGTTCTAGCCTCCTTCTTTGTTCCTACAGAAACATCCTCCTTCAACTGGAGCAGTCATGCCTTTGTCTGTTTTATTTATTTACATCTCCCATAGAATTTTTTTTTTTTTTAATATAGAGTTCAAGTGTGACAGTCAGCTCTAGCACAAAAGCAGATGGCTGTTTCTCCATTCAATCATGTATTAATTCAACAAATGTATGTGTAGAGATTGTTCTATTGTGCTGGGGGCTGGGGATTCCAAAATGAAGGAGTACAGGACTTGCCCTAAGGGAGTTCGCAGGCAGTGAGGTGGGGAGAGACCTGTCAACCCATGTTTGCCATCCAGGTTGGTGAGTGCTTGATGGATGTGTGCACCAGGCTCCATGGGTCTCTAAGGGGGTGTACCTGAGATCATCAGTCTGAGGGTGAAGAGAAGAGAGGACATTTGGACTGAATCTGGAAGGATGAGCCAGTGGCAGTCTGAGAAGGGGGAGGGACCTTGTAAGCAGAGGGAATAGCACAAATGAATTATTGAGATGTAAGGTTAGGGATGTGTGAAAGGAAAGGCAGGAGATGGGCTGGAAGGGTCTCACATGAAGGGCCTTGTGAAGGAGTTGAGCTGTCACATGATCCTAAGACGAGAAATGATACAATCAGCCCTGTGTTTTGGGTATTTTTTTTTTTTTATCCTCACCCGAGGACATTTTTGCATTTATCTTCAGATAGAGCAGGAGGGAGGGAGGGAGGAAGAGAGAGAGAGAAACGATGTGAGAGACACATCGACTGGCTGCCACCCTCACGACCCCAACCGGGCCAGGGATGAACTGCAACTGAGGTATGTGCCCTTATCAGGAACTGAACCTAGGACTCTCTGGTCCACAGGCCAACGCTCTAACCACTGAGCAAAACTGGCCAGGGTTTTGATTTGGGTATTTGACACTGGTGTCAATGTAGAGAACGGACCAGAGGGAGGAGTAGAAGCTGGAGGTAGGTGGCCATTTGGGAGGTGAGTATTGAAATAATCTGGGGGAGTTGTACTAAGGACTGAGCTACAGAATGGCAGCAAGGGCAGAAGGGCAGAGACCCCTTCAATAGGGCCTCAGGAAATGGACATGACGGGACACGTGGGTGAGAAAGGAAGAAGGTCTAGGCTGACTCCCAGAGTTGTGGCTGGAGCACCAGAAGGAAGAAAGTGTGCTCTCTCTTTCTCAGCAAAACCCCCAATATCCTCCAGTAGGAGTATTGCTCCTTTTCCATATGACTCCACTTTTTGTTCTAGCCCACCTTTCTGAATATCCTGTTTTTAGAGTCTAAACACCATGGTGTGGTGCTTGATTTTGTCTTTTCTCTGTGTTTTTTGCAGTTGTTTCTGATAAATCAAACATCCGTTAGCTCAGTGGGGATCATCTTAAGGGCAAGATTGTATCTTAGACTTATTTTGCTATATCTGCCATTCATTCTGGCACAGGAAGTAGGCTCATACTGCGTGCTTGACTTGCTGGTTTGACAATGTCCCTTGTTTTCTTTTCAGACTGTAAGAACAGTAAGTGTGTCCCAAAGAAGAACATCTTTCAAGAAATAGAGTCATTGGGGGTGATATTAGATCCACAATGGAGGTTCCCCCAGCATCCAAGCTTGGTGAGACCTTTGTGTTTGAAGATGGGTTAGAGATGCAGCAAGAACTTTTCCCAGAGGAGGACCTAGGGGAATCATTCCTTCAGGAAAGAGGTTTAGAGCAAATGGCTGTTATCTATAAAGAGATCCCTCTTGGGGAGCCAAGTGAGGAACATGATGATTATGAGGGGAATTTCAGTCTGTGCTCAAGCCCTGTTCAGCATCAGAGTATCCCCCAAGTAAACAAACCCCAGAATGATGAAATATTCGGCCAAACCTTCCTCCAGAAATCAGACCTTAGTATGTGTCAGTTAATCCATGGTGGAGAAGAACCCAGTAAACCTGACAATGAGCTAGTGGGCAGGGGGGACTCGGGACCGAATGAAACTCACAGAACTGCACAACCACCAAAACCCTATGCGTGTCGGGAATGTGGGAAGGCCTTCAGCCAGAGCTCACACCTTCTCAGACACCTGGTGATCCACACTGGGGAGAAGCCCTACGAGTGCTGTGAGTGTGGGAAGGCCTTCAGCCAGAGCTCACACCTTCTCAGACATCAGATTATCCACACTGGGGAGAAGCCCTATGAATGCCCAGAATGTGGAAAAGCCTTTCGCCAGAGCTCAGCCCTTACACAACATCAGAAAACTCACAGTGGGAAGAGACCCTATGAATGTAGGGAATGCGGGAAAGATTTCAGTCGGAGCTCAAGTCTCAGAAAACACGAGAGAATTCATACTGGAGAGAAACCTTATCAGTGTAAGGAATGTGGGAAATCCTTCAACCAGAGTTCAGGCCTGAGCCAGCATCGGAAAATCCACACCCTAAAAAAACCTCATGAATGTGATCTCTGCGGGAAAGCCTTTTGTCACAGGTCCCACCTCATTCGGCACCAGAGGATTCACACTGGGAAGAAACCGTACAAATGTGAAGAGTGTGGCAAGGCCTTCAGCCAGAGCTCCAACCTCATTGAGCATCGGAAGACCCACACCGGTGAGAAACCCTACAAATGCCATAAGTGTGGGAAAGCCTTCAGCCAGAGTTCCTCCCTCATCGAGCACCAGCGGATTCACACTGGGGAGAAGCCTTATGAGTGCAGCCAGTGTGGGAAGGCCTTCTGCCACAGCTCTGCATTGATTCAGCACCAGAGAATCCACACTGGGAAGAAACCCTACACATGCAACGAGTGTGGCAAAGCCTTTAGGCACAGGTCAGCCCTTATCGAACACTATAAAACCCACACCAGAGAGAAACCCTACGAGTGTAACAAATGTGGCAAGTCTTTCAGGGGGAGCTCACACCTTATTCGGCATCAGAAAATCCATGCTGGGGAGAAGCTCTAGAAGGAGGAGCTCACACCAAAGCTTGAAAGCCTTTCCCAGATGGAGCCCGCACTCAATCACTTTGTCTGCGAGGCCCCGCCCACCTTCCCAATGATAGTGCTGAACCTAGGTGCTCCTGAACACTCACACCAGCAGCAAGGCCCCCTTGTGGCCAGGTGCCCTGTGAGCTGCAGGTTTACTGAGCGCAAGGGAGGGTGGGGGATAGGAAGACCGCCAGAATGGCTGAGCACCCGAAAAGAGAGCAGGCCTTCGGTTTTCTCATTCTCACATTTGACTTCCAAGCCTATGAGGTTTAGTTTTGCCCTCTATTCCAGAATCCAGAAGAGGAATAAATGTAAGAGGGAGAAAGTTGGGTTAAACCCATGTTCTCAGGTGAGAACATCAGGCTACAGTGTGGCACTTGTAGAAGAAATAACCATTCTCACAGTCCAAATTAGCTGAAGGAAAAGGAATCCAAAAAGTAGATACCTCAGCCACAAAATCGAATCTTCTATCTGGCTTAGGCACTTGTAGGGACAACCAAAATAGGTCACAGAACAGAGGGAGTATCGGGAAGGATTAGTTCTGGGACTGCGTGAGGGTGTGAGTCCCTGGTGTGGTCTCTTAATCCTGTTCTGCGTTAGTGTGAGGGTGTGCTCTTCCAAGGAGAGTAGAGGTTTGGTCCTGCAGGCCAGAGGACGTTTGATTCCCAGCTCTGACTCAGCCCATGCTGAGGCATCAGTGCCCTCCAGGAGAACCAAGGCTCCCAAAACCACAGTGTGCCTTGGACATCAGCAGGGCCCATCTCTGGTCTGGCAGCTATGCAGCCTTTCTGCCTTCCAGTGCAGGGTTGGTGAGGGTGGGGGGATATTGGAAGCAGGGTGATTCAGAGGTCTGGGTTCAAGTCTCAGTTCCATCCCTCCTACTTATGTGACTTTGAGGAAGCCCCAAGGCTCTGTTTTCCTATCTGTGAAATGGAGATAGTGAGGCCTGGCCACATACTTCAAAGGGTTAGTGCAAGGCTCCCATTCAGAATGAGACCACATATGAAAGTGCTTTGGCAGTTGAGTGTGGATACCCAGAGTGACCCCTGCCTCACCTGGAAACACTGTCCCTGAAACCTGGAGAGCATCCCCATCTGGTCCCTGAAATGGCAGAGCTTGCAGCAGGTCCTCATTAAGCCACACTCCCATACTCCCTCAGGATTGCACCCTGGGCTGGAGGTGCCCTGTGTTTGCTACACACAGATGTCTCCTGGAGGCCATCCTGAGCCTGCCTGTGGTGGCAGTGCAGTTCATGTCCCTGTACTTCTCTCTGTTCTCCCCACTGCAAACTGGTGTTCAACTGGGGATTCATCCCATGTGGACCAATTCAGTGGGCATCCCCAGAGGTGGGACTCAGTGGTGTTTTTAAGCTCCCAGGTGATTATAATGTCCCAGCACTCAGCCAGGCTGTGAGCTCTGTGCTGGGCACCCATGCAGCCCCAGCATCTCCCAAATGTCAGGCCTGTTTGCCCCGACTGAACAGAGCTTGAAGGTGGCCATTGTGTCTCAGTCCCCCAAGAATGGGCTCCAGCAGTGAGGGCAGTGGCAGGTCTGGCTAGTTGGTAATTGTTTGTCTCAGGCCCTCAGTCCTTCATGTGGCCATGGGGATCTTTAACACTAGCTTTCTCCCCTACCAGGCTCCTCAGCTAGTGTGGAGGAGGCAGTCTGAGCTATTTTGAAGTTTTCCAAATGTTTATGGCTGATTCCCTTGAACCCATCGTGGTAAAGCTGGTTATTTCAGCTAATCAGAAGCTCAGCTTGGCAGTTATGTGGTTTTGATGAATAAAATGGGAGAGCCATAATTGTTACTAAGTGGGGCTTGTTAGGCAGAGATTTTAAAAGGACTAGTCTGATAGGCTGGGGAGACAACCTCTGTCAAGTCTCTCTCTTTGCTATGTGAGTATGTGAAAGATTTAACCAGCACCCCAGAGTCCCCCAGAACCTGCTGCACCACAGCTGGACTGGCCTGGCATGACCAGGTGGCACCTGGGCATTGTTGGTAGGAGGCCTGCACCCACAGTGTTCAGTCATTTATCAGGAGTGAGGAGAGAATGCTGAGACCCCTGCTTGGTGCGGGCGACAGCAGCCACCACCACCCCTAGATCTACCTCCTTGGCACCCTTCCCTCATTCTGCCTCAGCCCTGGCCAGGCCTGTCCCTGTCAGGCAGTCATCTGTTTCCTTACTACCTTTGGTGTCTGCCTCCTGTACACCCTAACCAAATTGATTTTTTTAAAAGCATCACTTTGCACATCACCACTCTCCTTAAAACCAACCTTTGGGGGCTTTTTTGCACGTGAACCCCCATTTCAGCCAATCTGCTCCACCCCCTCTAAACAAACCACAGGGAGTTCATGCCAGCCTCTGTCCTCAGTTCACTCCCAGCTTCTCAACTCGCTTTATGCTGTTCTGACGTTTTGGAATGTGCACTTTTCCTCTGCCACAACCTGTCTGCTTTATTCCTTTTGACAGTTTATGTAACCCAGGATTAAAATCCCTTTCTAAAGGGTTGACAGATTCTCAAATAACCATGGGTAAGACCAGGTACTTTTCATTTTTTGGAAGTGTGAGCAGAACCTAATTCCTTCTGTTCAATTTATTTCAGTTTGATTATGTATTTAAATTCCCGTCATTTGATTTAGGTTCTCAGTGTAATGTTATAAGGGATTGCCTTGGTAATAGTTTCATCCTTGAATTTCGTTTGTTTTTGTTGTCTTACGTTTTTTTCCCTCATGGCGGGTGTTGAGTGTTGTAAAGCTCCAACTCTTGACTTCGTTTACTTAATTGAATTGTTGTGTCAAAGTATATGTATTCTGTTTTCGTTTTTGGCTTAATACTTTATGTTTCTAAGATTAATTATTAATCATATATATATTTTCTATTGATTTTAGAGAGAGGAAGGGAGAGAAGAGAGAAATAACAGTGTGAGAGAGAAACACTGGTCGGTTACCTCCCTCATGTGCCCCAACCAGAGATCAAACCTGCAACCTGGCCATGTGCCCTGACCAGGAATTGAACCTGCAAACTTTTGGTGCATGGGACGATGCTCCAACCAACTGAGCCACACCAGCCAGGGCATTAGTTAATCATGTTTTTACTATTTCTAGTAAATGTGGGTAATTTGGTCTATGCTTTTTTTTTCTCTTATAGTTAGAGCTTTTTCTGCACTCCATAAGTTTGACATGTGGTATTTCTAATTATTAGTATATTAGGAATTTCCTTTTGGCCCAAGTGTTATTATTTTTTTATATTTCCAAGTGATGAATGCTTAAGTCATTGTTGTTATTTCTTATTTTATTGTGGTGTCAACCTTTCAAAGTGTCCATAGAACTTCTTTGGGCCAATTTTTATAAAGCATTTGTGTACTCTCAAGAAATGTGTTTTTACTCCATCAGTTCTATTTGTTAACTCAGTTTTTAAACTATTTTATACAAATTCATATTTTCCCTAACTTTTGTTTACTTTAGAGTTCTGAACCTGGGGTTCGTGAACTGCCTAGGATTCTGTGAGCATGCAGGGGTTTTAAAAGGTTGTGGACCCCCTAGGATGGAACAAGCTATGTGGATATATGTATGAATGAATGGTTCTGGGAGAGGGGTCTGTAGCATTCTCCATATTTGGAAGGGCTCTGTGGCCCCAAAATAGTTAAGAACACTCATTTACCTGATCTAAGTGTAGTCTGATTTTATGTGTTTTTTTCTTTATGTATTTCTGTTTCCCTTTAATTTCTGTTCCTCTTTTATGAGGGTCGTTGCTATGTTAGTCGTGCAATTATCTCAACTCTTTTTTGAGAAATAGGCAGGGTATAAATTGTCAATAAGTACGTACCATGGTATTTGGGGTATATATATATATATATATATTTAGTAGTGCTATATTGAAAACCTGTGCCTTTTAGTGCCCGCTTTGCCTTTTTTGATGCTTCTAGCTTAAACTTCTCTTTTCCAAATATTATAATTGAAGTCGTTTGCTTTTCTTGAATATGCATTTGCATGAGAGTTTATTTAGCTCAGCATTTTAATTTTTAAATTTGTGTATATATTTTGCTATATATATGTAACTTATAAATACCAAATTGTTGGATTTTATTTTCTGATTCTTTCTGTAATTCTTTTCTTTCTTGTGTAAGAAGTTCTATCATTAACATTATTGTTCATAGTAAGGCATAATTTTGCATTTTAATATTTTGATATTTCTTAACTCATTTAACCTAAAAAGACCATACTCATTCATGTGTGGAGTATCATTTCCGGGTAGACTAGAAGTCTGCCATTGGGTGTTCCTGCTCCTCCTTGTTTTCATCAGTCCCAGGCTGTGTCCTAAGCCCACTCTTCAAGGCACAGCCTCTGGTTTCAGTGTCCTTGGCTGTAATGTGGAGGAATGATGCCACCTCATAGCCTTGTGGAGCTCAGAGGACTAAGGAAAACAAACCTGCATGACAAATTGAGGGCATAGATGATTGTTACATTTTTAGTATATTGAAATATTTAATTTTCTGTCCTTACTCCTAAAGTTCTTTGAATGTAACTTAGAACATTACACTGTGCTTTGCTTTTCTTGTTTTGTTTTGCTTTTTGTTAATTCTTACCCGAGGATGTTTTTTCCCATTGATTTAAAAATATTGATTTCATTGATTTTTTTAGATAGAGAGGAAGGAAGAGGGGGAGAGAGAGCAAAACATTGATTGGCTGCCTCCTGCACACCCCATACTGGGGATCAAGCCAGCAACCTAGGCATGTGCCCTGACTAGGAATTGAACCGGCGACCTCTCAATACACGGGGTGACGCTCAATCCACTGAGCTACACTGACACCAGCTGGGCCTCATTGATTTTTAGAAAGAGAGGAGGTGGGGGGAGAGAGAGGAGAGAGAGAGAGAGAAACATCTGTGTGAGAGAGACACATTGACTGGTTGCCTCCCACACAAGCTCCAGCCGATGCTCTGACCACTGATCACACTGGCCAGGGCACATTGTGCTTTGCTTTTTAGAAAATACTACCAAACATAGTAAAGAATTAGATAGACAGCACAGATCCATCCCACCCTCCCAGAGTGAACCCATAGTCATTTGAAGAGAGGTGGAGAGGTGGGGACTCTGATCTCATACTTCCCATCCTCATCACCTATCTGTCTCAGGCTGGTGCCCTTCAACTGTCCCTGATCTCCCCTAACACACTCCTGTGGTGGGGGGAGGGCACAGCTGCAAAGGCTCAGGAAGTCAATCACTTATGGCCACTCCTGTTACATACAGGTGGGGAAACTGAGACCAATGACTTATCAAAAGTGTGGCGATTTAGTGTCAGATCCACCCAGCAGTCACGGGAAGAACATGTTTGGATGCTATGCTGGAGCCCCAGCCAGTTGCCAGGACTTCTCCGAGCTAGCATGGTTTAGTCACCACGGGCCAAGGTGAAAACCAGATTGCCTCAATCTGCTCAGAGTTGCTCAACTCTTGGAGATGAGTGGACATTTGCAAACGTCACACAAAATAGATATAATTGCCAGAATGCCAAGGCATCGATTTACTGGGGGTAGGGAAAGAGAAACCCATTTTTAGTATCTGATAACTCAGGAAACCAAGGCGGGTGTGAAATTGGGGTGTCAGGAGATGGACCATCCCTTCTGCAGCACAGGCCATGGAAATGCTGCTGGGGGTTGTTTTCTGAAGACACACACTCCGTCTGTCCTTGAGTGTATTCATCAGGGCAATCATGCAGCTTCCACCGGTGCTTCCTACCCCTAGGTCAGCGCTCTCTGAGGTCTAGAGCGCCCTCTGCTGGTGATTTTGAAAGTTGAAAGGCTCTTAGATCTCTCCCAACTCAAAAGTGTTACTGGCTTTCAATCCCTGCTTCCCTTTGCCACTACCCTCAGCCAGGCTGGCTCTTCTTACCCCAGAGATAACCGGAAGCATCTCTGTTTCTTCCCTCTGGCCCTTAGATCCAACACCTGAAACCCCAGAAGGGAGAGAGGGGGTCACAAGCAGCCACGCAGTAATGTGCTACCTCCTTAATCCTCATGAATCCTAAGCTTCCAGGACTGGACTTCTCCCAGGACCACAAACACCCTCAAAGTGAAGAGCTGTCCCCGGCACATAGTGGGGGTTAGCAAGGGAGCACAGATCCCCTCCTGGAGGCTGGTGGGGCTTTATCTGGGTCTCATAATGGCAGTCTTATCCTAGGGCCTGTAGCTTCTCCCTTCTGTTGCTGGCCCATCCAGACTCCCCGAATGTGGGCCTCCCTCTCTGCCATCTTCCTTCCTACCTGACTGAGCCCTGCAGAGGAGGGACCTGTAGGTTTCACTGGCTACCCTCACCCTGGTGCTGAGCTGCATTTGCTGTGTGAACAATGGACTTTCTCCTGCCTGCTCTCTATGTCAGTGATACTTTTCAGCCCTCTTTCAATTGCCTGTTTTTTCCTCCAGTCTTGCTGATCTCAAGTCAGGAATCTGATTCTACCTCCTCTACGTTCTCATTCATCAGTTCCCCCTAGTCCTGCACTAAATATCACTTGAAGCCACCTGCCCTCTCATCTGATTGCTGCCTCCCGGGGCTGCTGCCATCCAGCTGCACAGCCTTTCTTCTGCCTCCCTCCCGCCTGACTTTCCCTCTGTCCTTTCTCCCCTTGGCAACCAGAGTGATGGTTCATATCTGCAGTCTGACGGGATCACTTTCTTCATCAAACACTCCCATTGTTTTTTATGTAAACCTTAAAAGGTCTGAGCCTGCGGGAGATCACATCCAGGACACAAGAACAATGTAGAGCAAAATGGCTTTATTGCATGTGCCTGGGTGCAGGCGGGCTGAGCCAAAAAGGAATCAGCCTCAAATCAAGGTTGGGGTGTCAGTTATATACTGTACTTTTAGCTTCTGACAGTTCCTGCTGATGTACTTTGTCTGGCCCATTGTCCACTTTACAGTAGGACTGGTCTGGTATCTCGTCTGGCATCTGCTGGGTGATTCATTGTCTTGCGGATAATCCAGATAGTCCTTATCTGTACTCAACAGAAGGCTGAGCGAAGGTCATGCAAGCAACACAATTTCCACAGTTTCCACCTTTTGCAAGCTTTTACCTTTACCCTTTAAAACATTACTGACCCTTTCAAACCTAAGTGTGGAGGCCAGCCTGCAGGCCCTTCCTGATCTGACACCACCCCTCCCACCAGGGCCTCCATGCTCCAACCACACTGAGCTCCCCTATTTCCCAGACATGCCTTCCTCTGGCAGGAAGGACATCCCCTGGGGACACCCTTCTCTCACCCAGAGAAAGAGCATGGCCAAAGAGGGAGAGTTCTCTTCCAGGGTTAGCTATTTTAAAGCCAGACACTCCACCATGCCTCTCCCCAGCCCTGTGCTGTATTCTGGGTGTTAGGTGCGGTTGAACCACAGAAGAAGGCCAAGTTTAGGATCAAGGCCAGCCCTTTGGTTAGTGGAGAATGAGAGGATAGAGAGGGACAAAGCTAGTGTGACTTCTTATGTCTCACTGTTACACTTTCACATTATCTTAACACCTGGCATATTTGCAGAGTTCCTGAAAACAATGATTGCACAAGCACCCTGGAGAGGGTTGTGCCTGAGCCCTCGTCCACTACAGCCTCACTCCTGACCAGAACACCCAAGCCTTGCGCAGAGCCTCACATGGCTGAGGCTCATTGCCCTTGGTTTCTTCCCTGTTTAATGGGAGCCAGGGCTCAGCAGGGATTTCAAGGGAAGGCCGGTTCATAGAAGAGTTAAATGGGTCAGTTTCAAGATTACAACTGGTACCTTGTCATTTCATGTTCTCAGGCACCAACAGTGAGAACATTGGGGGGAGTTTGCTTCCTCATAGTACGTGGAGAAAGTGGAGTA